TTCTCCTTCTCCTTCTCCTTCTCCTTCTCCTTCTCCTTCTCCTTCTCGTTCTCGTTCTCGTTCTCCTTCTCCTTCTCCTTCTCCTTCTCCTTCTCCTTATCCTTATCCTTCTCCTTCTCCTTCTCCTCCTCCTTCTCCTCCTCCTTCTCCTTCTCCTTCTCCTTCTCCTTCTCCTTCTCCTGCTCCTTCTCTTCTCCTTCTCCTTCTCCTTCTCCTTCTCCTTCTCCTTCTTCTTCATCTTCCCTTTTTCCCATCTTGTCCTTCGGGGAATTCATATAAAATAGTTATTAAATTGCGACATACTCAAAATACAGGGCTGTATGAATTCATTCAAAACGGCTAACGAATTATTCATATACACGAATATACGAATGAATGATTTTGGCTTAAAATTTATTTTATTTTGATATACACTGCCGGAACAAAGTATTGGCATAGCAAAGTTTTCATAATATATGCAACAATTATTATTCTAATATTTTTTCCGCCAATTTTGAATAAAAATATGGTTCATTCTACAACAAAAAACATAAAAATAAAATTCCTGAACTTTGCGCAAAACTCGCGAAAATTCTGAAAATTGTCATGCAAATTTTCAACTTTTTAATTACATACAATAACACACACATATTTTTAATATGTGGCAACGAACTTTCAATTTTTTTTAAATGACTCCTTTCAAAACCCCTAATTTCAGACACACCTCGTATGCCGCCTTTAACTTAAACTTTTGAACTGATGATTCTTCTGCTACTTCACATCGGAATGCTTCATATTGGAATAAAAAAATCAAATCCAAACTTTTTACAGCCGGTTTCACCAGCAATTCCTCCGCTGTAAATTAAATTCAAATAAAAAAAACATTTGGTCACTTAAATTTCTTTCGTGAAACAGGATATTAGTGATGAAAATTGTTTACCTGGCCTACAGAGCGACAAACTGTTAGCTTATGTGGCTAATATTGGGTAGTGGGTGTACATTCTTGATATTAGTATTCGCTTCTATTGGTCAAACAAAAAAGCTTACAAAAATAAATCGGGGAAAACAACGCAGCCTTGAGGTTGGGAAAATAAGTATGCATATGTAGATATAACTATATTCCATGCAATTGTTCATACGACGCTGGGACACTGAGAATATTGGACAAAACAAAAACCATCAACAAAATAATATAACGAAACTGAATAGGTATAATGTCAACGAAGAGCAGAGCTGAAAATAATATACATACATATGTACATGTACAACTGTAAATAATTTTATAAATATGTGAGTAAATAGTCATGTAAAAAATGTGTTGCAAGGAATCGATAAGAGCAGACAGCAAAAACGAGAGTAAACATACTTCAAATAAATATTACGTGTACGCCATGTGAACAAATCGATTATTGAAAAGGTTGTTTGGGTGAATTGGATTTTTTCCTTACTGTGCATTTCGATAAAAAAAATTTAATAAAAAAAAAAATGTAAAAAAATATCCACCACTTCACACTGCACTACAATTTCGTTTGGCTACAACATTTTCGACTTCCATTTACTTATTTTTTCAGTTTGTTTTGTTCTACCACTTTACAGCCACCTCAACATGTGCCACACAAATTGCAGTCTAACAAATACAACATTTGTGGTAACACATTGAATACAATATTGATAATGGAATGTAACTACAATGCAATGCAATACAATGCAGTGCAATGCTAACATTGCATGGGAATGGCGACAGCGGGGAAAATGGTGAGCGGTGTTAGGTGTTGAAGAGCAAATTGTAGCATTTTTCGTTGGAAGCTGCCAGCTGCGTCGCGTGCAGCTGCCGAGCCACCGGTGTATTGTTATTGAACGGCCGCCACGTATGAAAACAATAACAGCACTCCACAACACTGGTCGTAATAAAATAAGCGCCGCTGCATAAAAATATTACAAACATATGTAAACAATACGAAATAAAATATCAAACAACAATAGAAATGTGATATGTATACAAAATTTCCAATTCGATTTCGAGTGAGTACTTACATATACATACATACAATGTACTTACATATACATATATATATATGTGACAAAGCAGACGGGCAAAAAGTTGCAAACTGACCAACCAAGCCAAATAGTTGGCGGCGCTTTATTTTTTTTTTGTATTTTAACAATATTGTCTGAGCAAACACAAAAGTTTATTCATTTTTATTTATACCTTTTACTTCATAAGCTTTTGTTTATTGTATTTATGTATGTATATGTTGGCGTGCTCAACTTGCGGGTAGACAATGAAAAAGTTTTCCCACCTGTGTAAGCAAGCCTACAATGCTGCCTTTTCAAGTTGTATCGGTAAATTCCACCAATAAATACTTATAGCTGTATTTCGCCACATATTTGTTTGGCTTTGTGTGCCTACTTCTTGTAGTCCATGGCACTGCCATCGAATAGCAAACGCCTTCGGCTGACCACTGATTCAAAGAACACCTGCACTCAAGCAATTTGGTAAATTTTCTTCTGTAGGTGCAATGGCCGTTCGTTGCGCAAAGGTCATTGTTCAAAAGCTTGGGGTTTTTGTTCTTTCGCAATTTCTTTACTTATGTGAAATATGTGTGTATACTTCTTCTACGAATAATGTAGCGAGTGGCCTTTGCTGCCTTTTAGTGCTAGGAAGATTGCCTTGCGCCTAGGAAATAAAGGCAGGTGTTTTCTGTGCATTGATGTGCACACATTTCTTGTGTTTGTGTGTGTTTTGAAATATGTATTTATATACTTAGAAGATGACGAATGACCTTGATAATGCATGACCGAGCCATTTTCTAATACGAAGCGCACAGAGAAGGGAACATTTTAAAAATAAATTTTTAAGATACCTTTGTCCGTTGTTTCATTGAAAATAAAATAGATTTAAGGTGAATTCGCTCTATTTAATTACTCCGGCTTGTAAATTTTTCGTATAAATACTTTCTGTAAGAAATTGATTTCGCTTATAATAGATTTTTATGTGTACATACAGTTACTTCCAAAATTGAGCGTACGGCATTTTTTTGTTAATATTAGCAATGTTTTACATGTCACAAATTTCCATTTTGTATTGAAATATGGCTTACATTTTAGCAAACTTCGTTTAAATCTAAGAATGATGCAATGTACAAAAATAAAGAAATATCAACAAAGTTTCAGCAAAACCGCGAAATTTTTAATGCGAATTTCTAAAAATAATTCAGGTATGCAGTTTTATAGTCCATTAAATGTTTAGTATACAAATTTGAAATCTCTAAAAAATCGCGTTGATTATTAAGAATTTTTTTGCTGACCTACGCATTTTTTTCCATATAAAAATTTTCTGAATTTTTTTTTTATATGAAATCTTATACACAAAGACTTTTTACCTCACCGCCGCTTAAATGCTTTCTAATCAATCAAAAATACTACGATATTAAAATGTCTCAGTAAAACTTTCTTGGTTTCGCAGGTGTAAAGCGGTCCCAAAAGTAGCCTCTAATCCTTGGGCTAATATCCATCGTTCCTTTATGGTTATCATTTTGCAGAGGTATGTCAATTATATAAAGAGACTCTGTCTTCTATAGAAGTAGTGAGCCAATGTGAAACCCTATCGGACGCCAACTGTTTCGTATAAAGTCTCCGCCTTATTAAATAAAGTCCTTCTCATCCACAAACACTTAGTTGAATCGGTTATGATTGCTGCGGTGTGGTAGTAGGAGTGATTATTTTCAAAAGCCGTAGGGGCTTCAATTTATCGAATAAATATTTACCCAGGAAGAAAGGCCTGCATCAAGATAATAAAAGACATTATAGGTATTCACGTGCACCATGCAAGACAGTATGCACCGGATCGTAAATACCCCTATCAATACAAAAAGCAAAGCATTTCTTCCTCCTCTGTTCACCTTAACAGCTTCTACCGAAGTCATACAACATTACGCATGTGCCTGCCGCAGGTTCTACCGATTCGGCTATTTTCTATAGGCACTGAGGCTATAATGCTAATATCCTGCTTGTTTGCTTGGGGCTTTTGCGATTTTATGATTCAAATGCCGCCAAAAATTGGGGATATTCTGCTTCTTGAAACTTGGATATTCAAAATTACTCCTACATTCTTTGTTCTGCAAAAGAAATCTGAGATCATAATTAGCTTAGTACCCCTATATGCCTTCTTTTTCTTATTTCCTTTTTTATTTCTCTTCTTGGGTTTTCTCTTGTCCGCAACTATTTTTCGTTTTTCTCTGTTTTTTTTTAAGCTAGCTCCGAATGTGCCTAAAAGTATTGAATTTAGTATGTATGCATATGTGTACTTCTCAAAGGAAGTATGCAATTTTCCTACTATTAACTAACAGCCGGCTGCTCTTCCTAACAGCTGGGCTCGAAAGAAAAATGTATTCCATTTATTTATTCCATCATTCCCGAATTGTCTTAAATCTTTTTTAGATGCTTATACCATTTGTTTTCACGATAAAAAAATACTATTTAATTATACTCATAACGAAAATATTTTTACATATTACAGCCGGTAATAAACATATGCAAAGTCTACATACATACAAATGTATATATGCAATAATCACCACCCTGCACACATTGCGAATTCCCATCTGCATATTTCCACGTCAAGCGGTAATAACATTAATTGAACAGATTACTACATGCAGCTCACGCATGCATACCAACATGCATACATATCTGCAAATATACTTAAATAATAAAAATTCATTTGTGCGTGATTGTTCGTGCTTGGACATTGTCGTCTGAGCGGTGTCTGAGCGTAACGCACTAACACAAGCACACTTACATAAATCACACGAGAGATCCCAGCTATTCAGCTGCATAGGTGTTATGGCATGCGAAGCAGCCAAAAGCATAAACGTAATTGCAAGAAAGTGCAGTTACAAGCACACTCACGCACATTAGTATGCAAACATAGGAAACGCATATGTATGAATGAATGTTGTCGACCGGCAAATGTCGGCACATCGTTCCAGCCTTCTTCTACCATTCGTCCTCTGCTCCAGCTACACCGCTGCAAACAAAAGTTTCAGCATTGCAATCACCACGTTAATGTCCATTTATATTTACACATTCAAGTGCTTGCATATGCGCCTACAAATATGCAACGGTGAATGGCATTCTCTGCTTTGCCGTCTTTTATACGGTGAAATGTATTGGCGGCTTGCTGCGATGCAACAGCACAGAAATATTTTCTCGGTATGCCTGGCGTATGGAAGTGTACAGCTGTAGACGTTCCTATGTATGGAGGGAAATATAT